CAATATGAATTTATATTTAGCAAGATTGACTCTTTAAAAAATTTCACGAGATAAATTCAATATTAATGAATGATTGATTTTAGAAATTAAATATTAATTTATTTTTATAAATTAATTAAAAATCGATATAATTTTTGTTTAACAAAATGGAGTTGGATGCTACAATTTTTTAATTGAAGTTCTACTTTCAATTTGTTTTTCTTATTCTTCAATATAAAGACATTTTTTAAATAGCCTTATTTTTAATTTAATTAAAAAATTTCTCTTCTCTCGATATACAAAAATATCAGGAAATCAGTAAAGCAATCGGTTAAAATTTCAGATATTCAATCTCATAACTTATATTTCATTCCTTCTTCTTCTTCATCCCGTTTCGCAACAACTTTAACAATAGCACACAATTGATGCGATAATTATTATCTAGAGTTAGTGTAAAAAAAAAGAGAGAAAACGATGACACGATGGATTTTATATATTTTTGTTTTGCATTTGTTACGGTATCCTGTTACAAACACTCTTCACGCTGCAGTATTTCAGTACAGAAGTAATAAAAAATATATATATATATATATATAATATTTATATATAAAATAGGTAAAGTAAAACGTAATATACACGTTATTGCTCGTCTCTCATGGGATTCTTCGCTCGCAATTCGTACATCCTTTATACACGGTATTCCAGATAAATTGATTTGCATTCACGAGCATATTTATAACAAAATTTTTTTCCGTGCTCGTCTCAGAGAATTTCTTACATGTGATTCTCTTATCTCTCCTTCTCTTCAATTAATGACAAAATCGTGAGAGTTTAACTTACACCATTACAAAATTATAACATTTTAACGCAAGCGTTTTCGATTAGATAAAGCAATTTCGTATTATAACCTACGGTATTAATAATTAATTAAAACAAGAGAGACTCCAATACTAAAGCGTACACGTAAAACTGCGGACGCGAAATATCCATTATAAATAAGCGAGTAGCATGAATAAAATAAAAGAACTTTTCACATTATCTTACATTATTTCTGTTTGCGTAGAGAGTAACTTAAGTACTTTTTTTTTCGAAAAATTTAGAATTTATCGTTAGTGAATTAATAGAGAGATAAATGTGAATTAAATGATAATTATTATTATCAATAAATTTAGATAATGATAATATTATATTATTAATAATATAATATTATATTACTATTATTTAAATAAAAAAGATAATAATATAATAATAATATTGTATAATAATTATCATTTAAACTATCTCTCTGTTTTCCATTTTTTTTAAATGGATATATTGTTAAAAAAAATATATCATGTTGCAAATACTTCGTTTTGTTTTATCCATACTACTATACGTGTCTATTCGTACAGTGAGCTAGATTACTTTTACTAAAACAATAACAATTGTCTTCCAACTTGGAAGTTCTCAATATTGCACGTTCTAAGACATATGACGTTGCAACAAACGTCCTGTCCTGCAAGATTCATATGATTTATAAATTCATCAAGATTGCGTCGCAACTACGGATCATTCGCAATATAACGATCGCCGTTTACAGCATTCTAAACATCGTATGTGATTTATATTACATCATACAATTCTTGTGTGCTATATTTATCCGTGTTTATTATCTCGAGTTTTCATCGCGCTATATATTTATGCTGATCCATAAGTTGCAATATTTCATAACAATAAATAACCACGCACGTCACTTTTCATCTTCGAAAATCGGATTAATCGCTTTCGTAAAAGATCCCGTTCGTTTGAATATCGCTTATTACATTTATGACCGTCTTCGTAAAGACTCGCTTTCGATCCGAAGATAAATCGAACTTCATTAGTAGGTTTGCCGGAAATTACCGTTATATTCTTCATACACTTAATATATCGTGACAGAATCATTAAACAGTTTCCATCATATGTAATTAAACAATTCCTTCTATGTCTACCATCGACAGATAAAGTGTTAAATAAAAGACATAAGTTACTATTTCAAGATATGATTTTATCATTAACAGTTTGATTTATGCACAACTGCTCGAATTATCGCGGACTCTAATCGATTATAAATAAAAATTAAATTAATAATATATATATATATATATATATATA